AATGTAACCTTTATCACATATTAAATTTACTACTTATATTTGTCTCTATTTCTAGATTTCTCTTCCATTTATTGATCTCTTACTCATTTGTGTCATTTGAAAAATAAGTTTGTTCTAATAATCAAAAAAACACTGTAATATTTCCATTTTGAAAAAAGAAATGCCAACACTAAATTAATTTTTAAATTATGATAATTTTAATAGATCTTAGATACTAAAGATGGTTATAAAGTTATACTTATGTGCTTCTTTTCTAGTAGAAAAAAATGGAAATTTCTTTAACCTTTATCAATAGTGGTAGTATAGTATGACAAGAGGAAAGGGACTAGCAGTATTCCTAAGGAGTTCTTCTGCTGGAGATTTTTCAGAAATACATTCTGTCATGCATTCACAATGAATTGAGCATTATGCTAGATGATGGAGACAGACATGGTCAAGGCATTGGGTATTGTTATATGTACTTTCCAGAAAGCAGGCAGCAAACTGAAACAAATTAGAAAATAATAAATTAAAGCAAATGGTTATCAGAACTACACTGAATATTTTTCTTTTGTGAAGTATTATGTAAATGATAATTTTATTAAAAGACCATGTATTTCAGTATACTATCCTGACATATAATCTTTTGTGCTTGGAGGAAAGAAGGGCCTAAAATACTAAATATGAAGAAAATCCAAAATCCAAATCTAAAATCCAAATCTGTTGCAGACATGTGATATTCAAATCCAAGAGAAAAAAAAGTTAATGTCTTGGCATTTAATGTTCCATCTTGCTACATTCTAGGAGAGGCAATTTTAGTTTTAAGCCACATTCCTAAAAGTCTACTCTATCTAGCCTTATGTTGTTTGAACTAACCATTAACTATATGTAGCTAGGACTTAAACTGTAGCAGCCTGCTGAATTTCTGGATCTTAATCTGGTAGGCCTAGCACAATATGCCAAGGTAAAACATTATCTAGTCAGTTCTTGACTTTCTGGCTTTCTGAATAGGGTCACCTGCAAGGGCTCATAGAAAGTCAGCTATCTGGAGAGTGATCATAATTTATTTCTAGGAAGAATAAGACAAAACACTGAGCCCTTAGCTGTGCAGAGCCTGAGAAAGGAGTCACTTTATAAGACTGCTTTGAAAATGTGATTGGACGAAATAGCTGAGTGTATCAAGTCCCAATGAGGCTTAGACGAGAGTTTTGTAGGAAAGAATCACACAAAACAGGAAGATTGTTTGCCATGTCAAAGGCCTCAAAATGTAATCAGAAGTCAAAGCTATTTTAGGTTACTTCATGTTATCTTTGGGGAAAAGACAAAGGACAAGAAAAGGTCATTTTAAACTACTTCCCTGATGCTGGTGGCATCAGAAAGAAATTCTAGACTAGAACCACGCTACTATTTTCCTAATGGAACATCTTAATAACCCTTCCACTTCCTCTTTCCAATGTGTATGAAACAAGCAGTAAGACCAAATTTCTTTTTTTGAAACAACTTACAAATACACGGAGCAGATCTATATAGCCTTGTTTGTTTCTCTGGTTTTCTGTGGACCTTTGTAAAAACGCATTTTTTCAATTGTTACGGGAAATAATCCTATCTCCAGGTTTTTTACTTCAAGAAAAGCTCAGAGATACTTGACTGGGTCCAGGGAACAAGAATCTAGAAGAAGCTGAGATATGATTCCCAGTGTTCTTTTTGACTTTGTTTGCCAGTTCTATAAAATAGTGCTATATTATACAACCTGCCACTCCCAGAATGGTAGAATTGCTGGCAGAGGGAAAGGTTTACACTTCCTCCAATCACTGATAATGCCTACCATTTGTTTCTCTTGTTTGTATCTGCCAGGGTACCAGCACTACTAGTTAACGGCTATCCTAGATCTGGTTGTAATAGGTAAACTCTTACCACTGTGAGTCAATCTTTTTCTTCTTTTTCCCATTCCTTGAGGGTCTAAGGGTTTTGTTGGTTGTTTCGGGAAGGGGGAGTAGAGCTAATTTGAATATTGGTAGAGTTTTTGTTTTTATTACTTAAGCTCAGTTCTAACCAAACAAGTCAGATTTAAAGTGGAATAAACTGACCTTATTCACATAACTTATTTTGCTGTCTCCAAAGTACTGAGGGCTTTTTTTTCCCCCTTGAGACAGGATCTTGCTCTGTTGCCCATTCTGGAACACAGTGGCACAATCATAGCTCACTGCTACCTCCAACTCCTGGCCTCAAGCGATCCTCCTTAGTATGCTTTTTAAAATGCACACTAAGACCACCCACGGTCAAAAAATGAATTAAGCACCCTGTGGTGGAAATGGAAGGATAACTGATCCCTGAAGATGTCCATCCCCATCCCTCATCCCTGGAACCAGTAATTGTATTTGGTTACATAGCAAGGGGGAATTATATGATATGAGAATGACTCAACCCGCCCGTCGCTGGCTTTGAAGATGGAGGAGGGGGGCAATAAACTAAGGAATTCAAGTGACCTCTAACGCTGCAAAAGGCACAAAAGTGGATTCTCCTTTAGAGCCTCTTAAAGGAAACAGACCTGCCAACACCTTGATTTTAACCAGTGACACCCATATCAGACTTTTACCCTACAGAATTCTAAAATAATAAATTTGTATTGTTTCAAGCCACTAAATTTGTGGAATTTGTTTCGCAGGATGCTAATACAAACTCCTCTTAAGGTTCTGGTAACAGTTGTTTAGCGTATGGACATCAGGTGGGCTGTTAATTCTTTTTGTGTAGTAAAAGCCCACAGTGGGGTTTGTAAAACTCCTTATCACGAATTGTCTCAGCCCTAGAAGGCTCCTTAATCACCCTCACTAAAGTAAGGGACCTGGTAAAAACCCTGATCAATTAGGGTCCTTTCTGTAACACTGCTGTGAAGGAATGAGATCAAGCTCCAAGTATTCACACTACAGCATTTAAAATGTTCCAGACATCTGACTATGGTCCTTACCCTGTGCTCCCTCCCATCTAAGTCTGTTGAAGAGGTGATTCAGCACCACCAGATTCTCTGACAAAAATACCAGTGGAATTACGGAGAAAGTTCATTCCCAGATGCAACCTATTGTTTCATCACCAAGCTATCACACACCACATTGTTTAAATATATTGCCTCATGTCTAAAGCAGTGCTTCTGACTGAGCCTGTGAGTTAATTAGGAAAAATTAAATACAGGGATGCTCAGGTCCAACTCTGGAACAATTAAAACAACATTTCTTAGTGGGACCTAAGCAAAGGTATTTTTTTTGAGTTTCCCTAAATGGTTCTGACGAAAAGCAAAAATGGAGAACTACTGGTGCGATAGTAATGTATGCCAGAAACCATGAATTTTAAAATAAACAAGTTCTTATAAAGTAATAAGCTAGTGCATAATCTGATACTACAGAAAACCAAATGTACAAGTAGACTTGTTCTTGCATACTTAAAAGAGGTCCTTGGGCTAATCCTCCATGAAGAAACTAAGACACTACCATAAAAGGATTTTCATCCTCAGACGAAGCAGATGAGACTGATTGACAGACAGTGACTACTTTCTACTCTTCTCAAAATTTATGTGCCTCTTTCCAAAATTAGGCTACATATTTGTAGTGAGAGAAGAAAACATATGCCTGCAGATCTCTTGTGAAAAATTCCACTTAGTTTAGAAAACTTTTTGCTTGCTTTTCCACATTTTCTAAAAAGCATCTAAGAAATTTGCCCAACAGAATCCCAAGCAAGAGAAAACTGTGCTTGGATGTTACCGTGACTCCACAAATTCTACCTTGATAAAAGTAATGAAATGCTTGACTGCGTTGTGACCACCCCCATCGTCACCACACCAGCTCGGAAGCCCAGGACTGTACTGTTTGAGAATATTCAATTCTTTCCCAGAAGAAAAGAAAGAAGATGGACAAAACTCATGCATTAAGCACAGATGTTACTAACTCGCGAGACAGATTAAGTCTGTAGAGCATAGACACATAAATATAGATAGAAAAGCCTGGAGAGACCAACACATACCTAATACTCATGGGGCATGAAATATGCTAGAGACACTTAATATTCATTACTATCAATATATATATTCACAATATACTAAATATACAGGAAACGAAACATTCACAGGTCTTAATTCTGCCACCTGGTGGTGACACTCAACCTGGCCCCACCTGTGCTGCCCGACAAGCGCGAGACCTGCACCTGCACCCGCGCCTGCTCACCGGGCTAAGGCCGCGCGTCCTTCCCCGCATCTCCCGCCCCCGCGTCGGAATACAGCTCCTTGAACACGGGGATCGGATGACTGAATTCCGTGAGACACGCTAGGAGCTCAATAAATGTTTGCTAAACGTAAAAAATTCAATTCAGACCGTGTAGAAACCCCAGCTTATATATTTTCTCCAAATACTTAATTTACAAGCATTATTTCTGAAAATCTGTGATGGCTAAATTCTGGGTATCAGGGTTTTTTGTACGTTATGTTAGGCACATAACCGGCGACATGTAAGGCGAGGTGACACCACCGTCTTCCCCGCCGCGCGGACCGCGGAGCACAGGGCATTTGGCGCGGGGTAAACTCCAACGCCCACCGTCTCTCTCCACCTAGGTTTTGGGAGCTGGCGCTCGTAGACAGCCGCCTTTGCGTCTCACAATGAGGCCCAAGCTCGCCGGCGTGTCGCAGCCGCTCCCGCGCGGCGGTCTCCCGGGGGCGCGGACTCCACTCCGCGTGACTCCGGGACGGCCAGCGCCCGGGCCTTCCGAAAACGCCTGCCCCAGGGCGGCCGCTCGGTCCTTCCGCGAGGTCATCGGCGGGGCAGACAGAAACGCGTGAGTGACGTCAGCTAATCACCAAAGAGAGGCCCCACGGCCAGCACCGCCCTCGGGGCCGGCCGACTCGCCCCGCTCCTCCCGGTGACCCGGCCCGGCCCGCCCCGGTCCCCTCACCGTCCAATGGGCGCCGTCGAGGCTGGGAGCGCGGCCGCGGGAGGAGGTGTGGGGCTGCCGGACGCCGAACGGCAGTTCACGTCAACGCGGTGACGTCACGCGCCGACGCTGGGGACGTACCTGTCGGGCGCCGGACTCCTGCGGTTTCTCTTCCCCTTCCGCGGGTCAGGGCAGGTCCGGTGCGGAAGCCGCAGCCCCTTTCGAGTGCTAGTTCGCCCGCGGCCCGGAATCGGGCTGGATAATGAGGCGGAAGGGTGTGGTGGGGTGAAAGCCATTCTACATTACTCCTGGAGTTGGAGCATGGATTGAGTTTTAGTCTTTGAAGAGGGAAGTGAGGTTGGAGATTTTTATTTTTAATTTGGGGTAGAAACAGGTTTACTCCAGGGCCCTCCAGAGCAAGAGGATTTAACTTAATGCTGCTCCCGTGTTTGAAGGCGGACAAAAAAAGTCCCACCTGGCGAAATTTCTCTAATAACCTACTCAGTAGAGAAAGCCAGGTGTCTTAAATCGCGTTAGTTTTCGTGGTGTCGGGCTTTCTTCAGGTGAAGCTCCCAGGGTAGCTAGGTTTAGGTTTGAAGCAGATGCAGAATCCAAAGGCAGCGCAAAAAACAGCCACCGATTTTGCTATGCCTCGGAGCTGCGAGGTGAGTTGCATCGTATGAGTGAAGGTTTGTTAGCTGTCATGTTCACAGATTTTGGGTCACCTGTGAAGCCAGGGCTCTCATCTTGGTTTCTGTTATAACCGATGTACCTGCAGGATGTTGATACCCATCCTGATTATGTACGTACCCTCGGACGTTCTGTAAAATTTCACCCATTTCCTTTAGGACCTTCGAAGCAAATGAAAGTAGGTTCCAGGAGGTTTTACTTTCGCTAAATTTGCCCAAATCTAAAAATAATACTCAGTTTTTCTGTAGATTTACATGTGTATATAAAACATTTTTGTGTATATATTTGTGTTTTGATCTTGAACTTGTTGGATCAGAAACTACCATAGAATCTCAGAAATAAACTTTGCATGTGGTATGCTTTATTTGTACGGCATTTGAAAACTGTGGATCGCATAAGAGATAATTACATACATATACATTATGCATATTAGAGGCCAATATTTTCTTTGGAAAAAAATTCCCGTTTATGAGAATTGAATCAATAGTGACCATAGTTTTTAAAATATATAATTCAACAGTTCAGTTCTACAAATGTAAACTTTGAGTTATGCAGTTCGTTTACTGCATCACTGTGGCTTGTGTGATTTTTTAATCTTTTCCCAAATGATTTCCTCTTATCTCTAAAGAGTTACTTTAGAAGATTATTTTCTTGATGAAGTCGGTATGGAAATAATTTAACTGTCAGTCAATTCTGTGTGCCTTTGTGAGCCACTACAAAATAGTATATATTTAGTTCAAGAGTGCATATGGGAGTTAAAATGATTATGTATGTACTGTCAACTTTCATCTTAAAAGGTGCTGCTTATTGTTTCGTGATACGGTATGGCTTAAAAACCGTGTGTGACCTACAAGTATTTTCTCAACTGGAGTTAGCTTATATGACCTCTAGTTAATAGGGACAGCCGGTGTTGGCAGAATCCATCACAGGTTGCATACCCTTTCCGTCCCTTACTTCCCGCCACCTCAAAGACTTTGATTCTTTGCTCGAATTATTTTGTTTAAGAGGTCAATATGAATGTATAGGATCTGCATCTTTACTTGGAAATTGTGCTTTAGCATGTGTTATTAATTACCCGTAGCTCATTAGGAATGTAAATATTTAACCTGGGTTTGGATCTGTATGATTCAGGAGAACAGATTTGCTGAGGTTATGTGTTATGTTAGTATAACAAATTGGCTATTTTCCAGTCATGTTGGTGATAGCCTTCCCGTTTCCTGTTGTGACATGTTGGTAATAATTTTCAGACCGCTCAGGGAGCCAGATTTGATCTCTGTGGTCGGTCATATATCAAAGCAGTGTCCTGTGGGGTTTGGCCACTAACACTGCTTTGTAGAACTTCCAGCTTAGTTTGTAGTCAAACTTGAATGCAGGGATCTAAAACGTATAATATGATTTAATAAGTGTTAATATTTATTGAGTGCATTGTATGGTTCAGGCTCTTTTCTAAGTGATTTTTGTGGATTATCTCAATTTCCACACCAATTCAATGAAGTAGGTACTTTGACTATTCCCATTTTACAGGTGGAGAAGCTGAGGCACAGGGGATTTAATTAACTTGCCCAAGGTCCCACAGCATTAAGTTTCAAACTGAGACTGAAGCCTGGCAGTGTGATTTCAGAGCTCTGGCTCTCAATGGCTGCACTGTACTGCAGATTAGCCTAGTCAAAGTGCTCGAGAAAAAAATAGTATGAGAGACATGGCACCCTAGGTTCATTTATTTTTTAGTTATAAAAGTAATGTAAAATTACAAAAACTATGGAAAATAGTGTTTTTAAAAGAAAAACTCATTGCTACTCTAATAAACTTTGTTTTTTATATGCACATTCACATCTGTACATGAACATTGTAACTATGATTCATTTTGAATTTAAAGGTAAACCTTCAGTTAATTATAAAAAGGAGGATGAACCCCTCCGCCCCAGTTACATTGTAGATTTGATCTGCAACTTTGACTGGAACCCAGTTGGATATATTTCTTGCCATTTCTATGGGAAATAGTTCAACAGTTTCTGTCTTTTTTTTTTTTTTTTAGACAGAGTCTCACTGTGTTGCCCGGGCTAGAGTGCCGTGGCGTCAGCCTAGCTCACAGCAACCTCACACTCCTGGGCTCAAGCGATCCTCCTGCCTCAGCCTCCAGAGTAGCTGGGACTACAGGCACATGCCACCATGCCCGGCTAATTTTTTCTATATATTTTTAGTTGTCCAATTAATTTCTTTCTATTTTTAGTAGAGACGGGGTCTTGCTCTTGCTCAGGCTGGTTTCGAACTCCTGAGCTCAAACAATCCGCCCGCCTCGGCCTCCCAGAGTGCTAGGATTACAGACGTGAGTCACCGCGCCTGGCAGTTTCTGTCTTTTAAAATCATGAAAACTACTTGTCAGAGTCTCAATCTTCCACAGGATCTTTTTTATTGGATTAGTGTTTTATCTTTCTATCTTGTTATTGTTTGAGCCTTATATTTGTTTGTGTCCTTTCTCCTTTGTCCTTTTAAAATCATCTAGCAACCCCTTAGGTTGTTTGTATATCATGGCTATTGTGAATAATAGCATTTAACTTTTCAATGGTGCTGAAAGATTTTGTAAGTGTAAGAAATTTTCTTCGGAGAGCTATTTCTTTTAGCAGGTTATTTATTACTTTTTGAAGAAAAATATAAGGTATAACAATTTAGACATACAGGTAACTGGACAGTAAGGATAAAATATTAAGTAATATTACTTTCAGGAGAAATTAGTTAAATTATCATTTTCTATCTGTTGACAGTTCGTATTAAAATAAATTCTTTCTGTTTCAATAAACCTATGGATCTAATTAGCAAACACTTCCACCCTTTCCTCTGTCTGATCTTGCTCTTTTGTCCTTTTTTTTTTTAAAACAAGTCCTATTGTGTATGTGTCTTTTATTGCGACGCTTCCTATGGTTCATGGAAGTAGATGGAGGTTAACAATTTGCTCAAACATATCTCTACATATAATACTGTTTTTGCATTTTATCGTATTACCAAAATGAAAGAATACTCATTTTACCTACTTTCTGATAGCATTCAGTGACCCTAATCTATAATAGGTCCTTTTAAATATTGAATATCTCTAATGTCTTCCATAAATGCACTAGAAGATGAAATCACTGTATCTGAAGAAAGAAAATCCTATAAAATCTGTTTAAAATCAAATGAGTGTAGGAAGGATTAGTTTTGTTGATTTTACTTTGGTACTTTGAGGACTTGTTTTAAATCAAACCCTGCTCAGTGTTGATATAATCAGTAGGCCACACTTAATTCTCATGGTATAGTAGTGACCTTTGTAATCTATCTTTTGTGATGTTTTTAGATCTGAATTTTCCTCAGACGATTCTATATTAGACTGTCTTTGAGTTATTTGAGCTATTGAATTGAATTTCTTGAAATCTATATACATACTTTTTTTTTAGTGTGCTGCTTTACTATCTACTTTCCTCAGTGTCTCATTAGTTTGATACATCTCAATTAAAATATTTAGAATATTCAAAATGCATGTACTTTATATCTAATTTCTTTTTCCATTGACTTTGAAATGTGTGATCTGTGTATAGATAATTAGTATTAATTAGTAAATAGCTCTGCCTAATTTTAATTTAACTACAGTACTTCCCGTTTTGTTTTGTAATTACTTGATTAAAAAAAGGAGAAAAGATCCTTCCCTCAATATGAAATCAAATGGAAAAAAGAATATGGCACAGATTTCCAATGGGGATCCAACAGATCCGGCTGCCTGCTAGATAGATATTTCTATCTATCTATCTAGCATCTAGATATCCTGGAATTGTCACATATGCAGCATGTCCACCTGTTTTTCCCTCTGCACTATTTTACAACCGCTTTCTTTTATTGACTTTTCAATTTCTAGAAAGACACAAGTTTTTTCATTAAAAATAGAGAAAGAAATTTTAGACATTAGTCATTGATGCTCACCTTTCCCTTGATCTCCATAAATCCAGATTTATTGATATTTTTTCTTTGTGACCCCTGAATATACATTCTTTTCTGTTTTCACTGTGGCTTTAGATCCTTTATTGTTTCATATTGGAACAGTTCCAAACTAAGTGGTATGCCTGCCTTCAGTCTCCTCTTCCTGGTACGTTCCTTACACAAATGCCATTATACTCTTCTCAGAACATGGCTTTCTTTGTATCATTTCTTTGCTCAAACTTCTCCACTTTCCTTTGATCTGGCATTCAAGTTCTTTGATTTCTTTCTCTAGCTTTCTCTCTTGCTGTATCCCTACATGAGCTTTAGTGCCTTGGGCTCCAGGCCAACATTCCCAAAGTGTATTCTCAGAAATACTATTGTAATACCATAGAATGTTAATAGGTGTTACATGGGATCGAGGAGTCATTCTCTGGTAAAATAAATTTGCGAAACTTCATAAATTTTGTTTATGATGTTAATGTTTACTACAAATCTTCTCAAGAACCTTTTTTGTATTGTTAGCCATTACAATTCTAGACAGGAATATGATGTATTGCCCAAACTTATTGACCATGAAACTTTTTGTTGAACTAGTATTCTGTGCACATAGTCACCGACAAATATTTTTGTTGTTTTCTCAGCTGCATAGTTTGACTCAAGCCATGAATTTTGCTTAGATATCCTCTTCTCCCATCTCTGCCTCATAAAAATCCTACTTATCTTTTAAGGTCCAACTCAGGAGTGTCTCGTCCAAAGAAGTATTCTCATCCTCAGTCATAGTTGGATGTAGTCTTTGAGCTCTTAGTAACAATTCTTGTGTTTTCTTATGTTTTCTACCATGTACCACCTTTTATTATAGGGATATATATATACACTAATATACTAATTTTTTGGAAGGTATAGCATCCGTCTTGAGGACAATGTATAATATAATTTATGCTCAAATTTACTGAAAGCCATAGGGCCTATATAAATATGATGGCATTAATACGATAAAAACTGTGTTTATATTTGTTAAAATTTGTTTATG